TACTGCATCTGGGGAGAGGAAGGGTGAACTCATCATTTAGAACAGCATGGCGGGCAAAAAGGATAGCTGCACTTTGTTGAAAGTGTATTTATCCTTAATACAGAAATCCCATGTGGACTACAACATAGACATCAACAGGTTTGTCCAAAAGGAAAACAGCAAAATGTCAAATTTCCAAGGGAAATGTTTTTTGGTCTTTTAAACCTCAAACTTCAGTAAACAGAAATCTGGCTGGCTGGTTGTTTGCACTTCTCTATTGAAAAACTTGGCTGGCTAGAGTGACCATCCACCAAGTTATCATGCACACTGGACGTTTTTACAGCTGCTGTTTTTTGCTTCTGATGATTTTTTCTACAGCCAGTAAACTCCCCAGCATGTTATCCTAGGTGTCCATGCACACATAGACTGGAATCAATGTTTTTGTGGCAGGGGTGTTTTTTGGCTGGAAAACAAACCCCAGAACTAGTAGGGTTTTTTAGCTGTAAAAACGTTCTAACACTGAAAAACGTGTCAAAACACAGTAAAACGCCACATTTTTGGACGTTTTTTTTTTTTTAGCAAAAAAAAAAAAATTTTGGTTTTGTAAAAAAAATCTGCTAGCAAACACTACTAAACGCTAATGCAAAAACACTAAAAAAAGCTGAAAAACTAACTTCTTTACGTGACTTTACACAGCTAACATTACCAGTGTTATCAAAACGTCCCGTGTGCATGGAGCCTAAGGAAACTGAAGCCCTAAGTCCCTGGATGAATGCCGAGCACTGAATTGTTTGTTGCCCGGACTAGACGAAAAGACAAGAAAAGCTGATTGGTCAACATGGGGACTTTTTTGTCCAGGCATAATAAATTAACTGTGTTACTGGATTCTACGTTTGAGAAACAATACCTAAAATCCATCTAAAACCAAAAATTACTACATTAGTAGGCTGTACGAAAAAAAAAAATATAACAGATTCCTTTATCTGCACTAAAGCTGGCCACACATTCGTAGATTACTCTTATGAAGATATGAGCAGTGGAGCCTGAGGAAGCAGCATACATGCGAAACGCGTAGATCCACTATGTTCTAACGCATGTATATTACATTGTAGACAGCTCATTGCTAATGGATATGGCTTTCTAAAGTGGTTATAAAGGCTGAAGGTTTTTTTACCTATGCATGAAGGTAAAAAACCTTCAGTGTGCAGCAGCGCCTCTGCCCCCCCCCCCCCCCCATCTCCCACTGCTGTGAGAGAGTGGGGGGCAGGGCACTCTGCTGTATCTTATGATTGCAGACAGCGTGGCTTGGGAGCGAGCACACACCAGTGCTCCATAGCAAGCGGCTTGCTAAGTGGGTATTGCTCAGGTGGAGGGAGCTAGAAGAGCCAGCGGGGGACCCGAGAAGAGGAGGGTCAGCACTGCTACGTGCAAAACCACTGCACAGAGCAGGTAAGTATGAAATGTTTGCTATTTTAAAAAAAATAAATGGGTCTTCAGTATCCGTTTACCTTTTGTCTATTTTATATGCATTAATAAAATGATGTATCTGATTTTGTTTTGGCACAATAAAATCCCCACTTTCCAGTATTTCTTGATTGGTTTTGCTATATTGCCCACTGAACAGGGGATGGTGCCTTGATATCTCTATATTGGGGTCTTCCACCTATCATTACTTTGAGTTCACTTATTTGGCCCCTCAGGTCTGAGTGAGAGAAATCGATTAATTCCTTCACGCATGTCAGGGGTCTCTGAACTACAGTCTGTGGGTCACATATGGCCCACTACAAGATTTTACCCGGCCAGCAACTTGTCCTATATTTGCGTCATGCATTTCCATGGTGTAGCCGCATAAAAATAATGATGCTGAGCAATTGGGACACACAGCGTCAATCATTGCTATGGTGCTGGTGGTCGGCCCGACAGCACCATGGAAATGCATGATGCTGATCCAGGATGGAGGCATCCAGGACCACCGCAGCATTCAGAAAAGGGCCTGGTCTGCCTCTTGCCTTCTGCCCAGATCTGCTCCACCTATGGCCCTGAGCCATGCTCCAACTGTGGTAAGGTGGAACATGGGGACTGAGGACACGGATGTGAAGGAATGACTTCCGATGTGAAACGGGGGACTTCTGACATGAAAGGCTTGACTTCCAGCATAAAAGGGGGGACATCTGATGTGAAAGGGAGGGGGACTTCTGAAGTAAAAGGGGGACCTCTGATTAAAAGTTATTTCTTGGTGTGTGTGTCCATTTATTTAACCACTCTCCACCCGTAGGACATCATATGACGTGGTTGAAGTGGTAATACCGGTTATACCAGGATGATGTCTGTATCAAAACGTTCTGCCTGCAATTCTCTGTTAAGCAGAAGTGATTTGAGTGGCTCAACACTCGATCACTTCCACGGTGTAACCTCCTGCCACTGCCATCTTTTCTGGGCTCTCCTGTCTCCTGAGCTTGGGGACCGCTGCGATCGGCAACAGCAGCACTACCCAGAGGGAGAGGAACTGACATTGTTCCTTCCTCTCTGTGACCCTGGAAATTGGAAGGATTTAGTCACTTCTAGTTTCAGCTCTTTGTTGACCTGACTTTTAGTGGCCAGGTAAGCAGCCGATCAGACCGATCTGTGTTTGATCAGCTGCATTGGAGACCAGAGGAGAGATCTGGGGTCTAATAAGCCCCAAATCTCTTTATAGAGAGGACCTGTCATGGTCCATGCTTTCACAGGGGGCAAGCAATACAGTTGATAAAAAAAATTAAAGAGACCGAGAAAAAAAAATAAGGTTCAAATAAAATTAATAATTTAAAAAAAAAAAAACATCTAAAGTGCCCCCTTACCTTGTACTTATATGTAAGCGGTGATCGCATAACACGTGTGAGGTATCATCATGAACGTCAGAGTGAGCACAATCATTTTAGCTCTGGCAAACCTGTGAATATTTGTAAGATATTCTCGTACTGAGAAGATTAGAGACCCCTGATCCACACTGAATATCATGAATAGAGGAATCCCTGCTGACAGCTACTGTATTCAGAAACTGCTGCCCCAGCGACTGCTGGACACTTCAGCCAAAAATCTGCAACGGCTCCTTCGCCAAAAGCCAATCAGGCCACCAACATGTTGAATTGTTGGACAAATCAGCAGGAATCAGCTGAAGTTCAAACTGTGGATGTCCAGCTTATACATCGCAGATGGGCAAATCTCCCACTGAGGCTATTGAATTCTGACAGCTGGTTCCAGCAGCTGTCTGAATACAGCGGGCGCTGCCAAACTGAGATTGCATATTATTGTCTGCTATTCATGTATATGCCCAGCTCCTTCAGTTTTCAGGTCAAAGGATGTTGGGCTGTAGGGTGCCAACAGGACCTTGAACTCCCTGAATTTTGGCTGGTGCATTAGAAACTGGATGAAATTCAGTTAGTGTATGGCCATCTTAAAAAATATATTACCCCAACATTTCATATTCCTGATATGTGCCTGCTGTACCATGATCTTGTGTTAAAACGTATCCTGTTCCCTTTGTGTTAAATTCCTTGTGTCCCTGGCAGTCCCTCTTGCTTTCCTAATTCAAACTGACCTAGGCATGAGAGCACATCCATCCCAGCATGATCAGTTTCTGGTAGCGCTGGAAGAACAGCCTGCCTCTCCTCAAATGACCAAGACTTGTGCTGACACGCCCCCCTACACAGCCATTCACTGAGAAGATCACTGTACTGCTGTTTCTCCACCTCCAGTTCTCTAAGTCGCTTATGCAGCTGAGAACAGAGATTATGTGATCACTTACAGAAAAAGAAAAAAGTATTTATAATCTTTTTAATGTATATACACAAATGATTTTGTTTCTATTTTAAGCTGACTCATTGGATTCAGGTGTTCCAATCACCTCCATGGCTACAGGTTTATAAAATCAAGCACCTAGGCATGCAGACTGCTTCTACAAACATATGTAAAAGAATGGGTCGCTCTCAGGAGCTCAGTGAATTCAAGCGTGGTCCCTGATAGGTTGTCACCTGTGCAATAAGTCCATCCATGAAATTCCCTGGCTACTAAATATTCCACGGCCAACTGTTAGTGGTTTTATAATAAAGTGGAAGCAACTGGGAACAACATCAATGGAAAATGACAGAGTGGGGTCAGTGCATGCTGAGGTGCACAGTGTGCAAAAGTCACCAATTGTCTGCAGAGTCATAAGCTAAAGACCTCAAAAATTCATGTGGCCTTCAGATTGGCCCAACAGTGCGTAGAGAGCTTCATGGAATGGGTTTCCATGGCCGAGCAGCTGCATCCAAGCCTTACATCACCAAGTGCGATGCAAAGCGTCAGATGCAGTGGTGTAAGGCACGCCGCCTCTGGACTCTAGAGCAGTGGAGATGTGTTCTCTGGAGTGATGAATCACACTTCCCTGTCTGGCAATTCGATGGACGTGTCTGGGTTTGGCAGTTGCCAGGAGAACAGTACTTGCCTGACTGCATTGTGCCAAGTGTAAAGTTTGGTGGAGGGGGGATTATGGTGTGGGGTTGTTTTTCAGGGGTTGGGCTTGGCCCCCTAGTTCCAGTAAAGGGAACTCTTAAGGCTTCTGCATACCAAGACATTTTGGACAATTTTTCATGCTCCCAACTTTGTGGGAACAGTTTGGGGATGGCCCCTTCCTGTTCAACATGACTGCACACCAGTGCACAAAGCAAGGTCCATAAAGACTTGGATGAGTGGGTTTGGAGTGGAGGAACTTGACTGACCTGCAGACTGTCCTGACCTCAACCCCATAGAACACCTTTGGGATGAATTAGAGTGGAGACTGTGAGCCAGGCCTTCTCGTTCGACATCAGTGCCTGACCTCACAAATGTGCTTCTGGAAGAATGGTCAAACCTTCCCATAGACACCCTCCTAAACCTTGTGGACAGCCTTCCCAGAAGAGTTGAAGCTGTTATAGCTGCAAAGGGCGGGGCCAACTCAATATTGAACCCTACGGACTAAGACTGGGATGCCATTAAAGGTCATGTGCGTGTAAAGGCAGGCCGACCAATACTTTTGGCAATATAGTGTATGTTAAGATCGGAAAGAGGGACACGATTCAGAACAGAATATTTAGGCAAAGGATACATTGTTGCCACCCCCTAATTACACAGACAATGACAAATTAAAGCACAAGAATAGTCACTTAACCCATTGGCGCCAGCGCCTCCTAGTACTTTAAGGGTTTTCGGATGCTGGACTGCGCTCTTGGCACAGTTCTGTTTATCTTTGGGTATGCATATATGCGGCCTCTCGGTGTTAAGGCCGACCTGCCGGGAGGTGGCATATATGTGTATGGCCGGTGGGAAGGAGTTAAAGTATATTTGAACCCTCACCTTGTAAAACAATCTATTCAGTTTAAACTAGAAATCAACAAGGCAGAACAATGGTGTATAGTATACATATAAAAACATTATAAAAAACCTTTTTTTCCTTTTTTATAAGTGATCACATACAACCTATTCTCAGCTGCATAAGGAGCTCAGAGAGCTGGGTGAGGAGAAACAGCATGACACTGATCTTTCCAATGAATGGCTGTGCAGGGGAGAATGCATGTCTGCACAAGTCTAATCATTAGAGGAGAGCAGGCTAAGTTCCCAGCACAGCCAAAAAACTGACCACGCTATGCTCTCATGACTAGTGTGGTCAGTTTTTAATAGGAAAGCAGAGGGACTGGCAGGAACACCAGGGATTTCACACAATGGAAGCAATATAAAGAGAGCAGGATACCTTTTCATACAAGTACATGGCACATCAGGCACTTAGGAATGTGAAATGTTGGGGTAACATATTCTTTAACCACTTTCCTGCCGCCCTATAATAGCAAAACTACGCAAAATCACATATATATACCATTGGCAGCTAGGGATGTTAATCACCAGGTACCGGCCAGAGATTCCCAACCAGAACCCGGCGATCGTCGGAGAAAGCTGACAGGGGAGAGACCTGTGTGTAACAACACAGGTCTCTCTCCTGCCAGCAAGAAAATGCTGCTTTGTATTTCTCTGCACAGCTAAGAAATAAAAAGCAGCATGTCTACCTAGTAAAACACACACAGCACATAATGTAAAACAGCACACAGTTAACCCTTTGAGTGCCCCAGATGTTAATCCCTTCCTTCCCAGTGTCATTAATACAATGTCAGTGCTTTTTAGTAGCATTAATCACTGTATTAGTGTCACTGGGGATGTCAGAGACAGTCAGTTCCCACCCAGTGTCAGAATGCCCACCACAGTCCCGCAGCCCCGCTATAAGTCGCTGAACACCGCCATTACTAGTATAATAAAAATAAAAATTACAGTATATATACCGCCATTTGTAGACGCTATAACTTTCACGTAAACAATTAATTTAAATGTAGTGGGATTTTTTTTAGCAAAGACATGTAGCAGAATAAATTTTGGCCTAAATTTATGAAGAAATTAGATTTTTTAAAAATTTTTTACTGGATATGTTTTATAGCAAAAAGTAAAAAAATATTTTTTTTTTTCTCAAAAGTGTTGATCTTTTTTTGTTTATAGCGCAAAAAATAAAAACGCAGAGGTGATCAAATACCACCAAATGAAAGCTCTATTTGTGGAGAACAAAGGACATACATTTCATTTATGTACAGTGTGACATGACCGCGCAATTGTCAGTTAAATTAATGCAGCGCCGTATCGAAAAAAATGGCCTGGTCAGGAAGGGGGGTAAATCCTCTAAAGGGCAAATGGTTAAGCCTACTGGGGCTTTTTCCCCTTTAATTTTCTATTATATTGTATTTAAAACCAAGACTAGATGAAAAGTATTTTGAAAACCAAATAATTTTGTCTGTTAAACAAGACATTTATGTACACAGATCTTTACACACAAAAACTCAAAGAGGGACATTTGAATTTGGAACGATGCAAAAGCAACTCCTCAAACTGCCACAGGTCGCTAGTTGATAGCGGTTGTGTCAGATTCCCAGCTAAGTGACTGCAGAGTTCTGTGACATCAAACCTCTGAAAACCATCACCTCTCCTGCAATGATATGAAGTAGGATCATTAAACGGAGCGTCTGTCCTGCAGACTGGGTAATTAGCTGCCTCTAACAGCTCAGTTCATGGACCTGGCCCACCTCTGCAGCAGAACCAGGTGGCCTTGTGTGTCTAAGTCCATCTGTTTTCCTTTCACAGTTGGGTAGCCTATCCACCGTCTCGGTGCAGTCGTTACCCATCAATATGTTTTTTGCTTTTTTTTTTTTTAGTCTAACAGCCTCCTATCAATTATCGATGTCCCTGTTTTTCTAATCAAGGTGCATTGCAGCAGCTTTTGTCTATCTCAAATCTGTCAAATCAAGGTGCCCTCATTTAATAGAGTGCAAATCATCGTTAACCATAGTACCCTTTCATGCTTATAGAACAGTCAGAAAGGTGCCTACTGCTGATTTTCCATGGCTCTACTCTTCATAATTTGCTGAGGTGCATTGTGCAGTAACCCAAAGTAACCAGATTTCACTGTTTTGCAATATCCTGAAAAAATAACGGGTAATTTAATAGTGTGGATTACTATGCTTTCCTACAAATGTGATTTTCTCATGCGTAACTGACAACCAGGGCAAACTGACCATTCGAGCACTCAGGCACTGCCCGAGGGCCTTGGGTCAGTTTTTTATAGGCTTTTTTGAGTGTGGTTAAGGACACAGGGGCCCCATGATCCCCTATTGCCTGGGGGCCCCATGAGTTGTCAGTCTGCCCCTACTGACAACTATGTTTACTTAGAGGCACAGTACTCAATATTATATTACAAATTAAAAAAAATATATAAATTCATACACAGCTGACCTACAATGTAACAATATTTTATCAGATATGATGAACCATTGAAAATCTGGCTATTTTCCAGGTATGATTCTTAAAGGGTCAATCCATCCAATAATAATATTTAAAAAAAAGTTACTGAGCCACTCATTGGTTAGTTTTGTCTCTCAGAGATTCCCACAGTGAGATCTCCCTTCACAGATTCCAAATTGTATTCCTGAGGAGGAGTCCCACTCTTCAGCCCTCCTCTCCTGCTACATGCTGGAAAATATAAAGTCAAAGGGAATCCCAACAGAGAAAGTGAGGCTGCCCTATAATGGGCACAGGAGATTGGTGGAGCTGGGAACTCAAGTGTGGCGAGCTCACTATTGGAGCCCCAGAGACTTCAATGGTCTCGTAGAGACTTCCATAGTTAGATCTCATATCAAAAATTCTATCTTGTATTCCCTGGGGCTGGGGGGTGCCACTCTTCAGTCTCTCCTGCTGCACGCTGGAACATATAAGTCACAGAGAATCCTTAAAGGGAATGTGGGACTGCCTTAAAATGGATACAGCATGGGGTGAAGCTGGCAACTCAAGCATGCTGATCTCAATATTGGAGCCCCAGAGACCTCAATGGTCTCCTAGAGACGTCCATAGTTAGAGCCTCAAAATTTCTAACTTGTATTCCCCAAGGGTGTCCCACTCTTCAGCCTCCCTCTCCTGCTGTATTCTGTAAAATATAAAGTAAAAGAAAATCCCAGTGGATAAAAGAGGGCTTCCCTGCACTGGCAGCAGCAGTTCGGAGGAACTGAGAACTCATGTGTGTTGTTCTCACCATTGGAGTCCCGGAGACTTCAACAGTTAGAGACTTTCATGGTTGGATCTCCCATCATAGTTTCTTACTCATATTTGTCTCTCTGAGACTCCCACAATGAGATCTCCCTTCACAGATTCCAACTTGTATTCCTCAGGAGGAGTCCCTCTCTCCAGCACCCCTTTCCTGCTACATGCTGGAAAATATAAAGTCAATGGTTTCCCAACAGGGAAAGTGTAGCTGCCCTATAATGGGCACAGCAGATAGGTGGAGCTGGGAACTCAAGCATGGAACATTTAAAGTCAAAGTCAAAATATCAAGTCAAAGAGAATCCCAACAGGGACAGTGGGGCTGCCTTATGATGGATACAGCAGGGGGGTGGATATTGGAACCCAAGCATGCTTATCTCACCATTGGAGTCCCAGATACTTCAGTGGTCTCTCTTCACAGTTTCTAACTGGTATTCCCCAGGGGGAGTCCCACTCTTCAGCCTCTATCCTGCTGCACGCTGGAACATATAAATTCAAAGAGAATGCCAACAGGGAAAGCGGGGTTGCCCTATAATAGATACAGCAGGGGAGTGAAGCCAGGGAACACAAGTGTGCTGATCTCACCATTGGAGTCCCAGAGACTTCAATGGTCTCCTAGAGACTTCCATAGTTAGATCTCCCATCAACATTTCTACCTTGTATTCCCCAGGGGGTCCCACTCTTCAGCCTTCCTCTCCTGCTGAAGTGTGTGAAATATAAAGTAAGCAAAAAACTTCAGCGGGGGGAAAAGGGGGCTTCCTGGTAATGGCAACAGCAGGTCGGAGGAGCTGAGAACTCATGTGTGGTGTTCTCACCATTGGAGTCAAAGAGACTTTACCAGTTAGAGACTCTCGTGGTGGGATCTCCGATCACAGTTTCTTACTCATATTCCCTAAGGGAAGTCCCAACAGGAAAGCTGGCCTGCCTTAAAATGGCTGCAGCAGTTAGGTGAAGCTGGCACCTCAAGCATGGTGATCTCACCATTAGAGTCCCAGAGACTCCAATGGTCTCTTTGAGTCTTCTATTGTGAAGATCTATCATCACAGTTTCTAACTCGTTTTCCCCAGGAGGCTTTTCACCCCTTCATCTTCCCTCTCCTGCTGCATTCTGTAAAATTTAAAGTCAAAGAAAATCCCAATGGGGAAATGGGGCTGCCTTGTAATGGCCACAGCAGTTGGGTGGAGCTGGCAACTTATACGGGGTGATCTCAGCATTGGAGTCCCAGTTACATAAAAGAACCTGGAATATCAGTTTGTCAGGACCAACCCTTTGAATCTAATGCCTAAGTAGAGCTGTTGACCACCAAATTTCCCAGTTGTATTTTTTATCAGCTGCCTTACTGGACACATTTGTGATCGTATTCACATTTGCAATAAAACACTTTCGAGCAATCCAGCTGACTGCTACACAAAAAGTGAACTGAAACA